TAGATTTTTAGTGTTTTTTTCCTTTTTAAATTTTTTTAGGATTTTGACCTCAAATTTACCATTTATGTAAGACGTTTAGGCTGAAAACACCACTTTTGCTTGATGAATAAAATTTTATGAGAGAGTATCTCAATTTTTTCCAATTGTTGGCATTCTTTGAATCAATAGAATTGAAGCCTATTTTTTGGTATTTGTGTGCAAATCAATAGGTTATAGTAGACATACAATTGAATATCAAATCAATGGTATTTATCATTCTTTCTTATAAGCTTCCGCTACGTCAATAAGCAAGTTTGGTAAAGAGGGAAGACATAAGGGAACTAAGTTCTCAAGCACTTTATAAGCCTTAGCCCTTTAGCACGAGCCCGATGCAATCTCAAATTCAAGCAACCATAACAATTGAAAAATATTGCAAAGAATATAATGAAAACTCATTTTTATTGAATCAAAAATGAATTGCAATAATCGTGACAAATGGAATTGAATGCACAATGTTTATGAACAAATTAACAACTCGAAAGATCGACAGAGAAGAACAAAAAGACAGAGAAAATATAATGATTTTTGCCTACCCTCTATAAGACTCTCATACCTTTATATACTCGTCTCTCACTAATCGACTATCACCTAACTCCTTAACCAAACCTTAACAACTTCTAGCAACTTCAACCGGTTGTTCCTCATGATTAATGAACAGAATCTAGCCTTCTTACCACGTCATGGATTAATGCCATATCATGCCAGCTATGCCATCTTCTTATTATTCACTATGTGAATCAAAATCAACTCCAGCTTGTCAACCAAAGTCAACTTCGGTGTCAACCAAAGTCATCTCCAATCAACATCATAAAGAATAGCTACATCAATATTTCCCCTCTCAAACAATCTTGTCCTCAAGCTTAAAGCTAGGAAAGCGTTTGACCAAGTCAAATGCGAACTTCTACATAGTATCTTAAGCGATCTTATTAGACCACTAAATAAAAAGTTTTATAGTAGCTTGTTGCCTTTTTTCATCAACTTCCTATTAAGAATGGCCACTAGAGTTGTAGGCAATACTAATGAAGTTAGTAGCTCATCTTGAACAATGATGTTGTGATGCATAGGCTTTAATTAGGATACATGAAATGTAGGATGTATAGCTGAGTGAGAAGGAAGATGAAGTGTATAAGCCACCTCCCCCACCTTATCAATGATCTTGTAAGGGCCATAATATCGAGAGGATAACTTTTGGTTGTTCTTGTACACCATAAATTGTTGCTTATAAGCCCGCAACCTAAGATACACCTAATCCCTAATCCGAAACACTCGTTAGTCCTCCCTTTATCGACCTATGACTTCATATGACTTTGCGTACTGTAAGGAGATGATCTTTAAGCACGGAGATAACATGCTCTTTGTTCTACAAAAAGATATTAACTTCTGGTTCTTTGCAATCATTTGCCAAATAAGACAAGTGAATAAGGGGAGAGTAGCCATGAAAAGCCTCAAAGGGAGACTTCTTAAGACAAAATGATAAGATGTATTATACCAATACTCATCCAAGCATAACTAACGACTCCAAGCAATAGGAATAGAGGAAGTCATGCACCTTAAGCACTTTTGAAGGCATCGATTAAAAACATATATCCGACCATTAGTTTGGGGATGGTAGGCAGTTGAAAATTTGAGAGTAAACCCTTGGTAAAAAAATAATTTCTTCCAAAACTTACCGAGGAAGATGAAGTCTCTATCCGACACATTATTCAATGGTACCCTATGAAGCTTATAAACGTGCTCCATAAAAGCTTTAGCTACCGAACTAGCGATATAAGGTGTGCCAAAGCCATAAAGTGTGCATACTTTATCGGTCTATCCACCATCATAAATATAACGATTTCTTTTAGGATAGAGGTAATCCCTCAATAAAAGCCATGGTGATATATGTGAAAATGGCTTCGAGGCAAGGGAAGTAGATTCGAGCAACCCTAGGCTAGCCATATTCTCATAAGTACGAGTCCGACATGTTTCACATGTTCTAATATATTCCTAAACCTTTTTAATCAAACCATTCTAATAAAACTGGGAAATCAACTTCGGATTGTGACTTTCACTCCGGAATGGCCACCGACAGAAAAGTCATGAAAATAAGAAATCAACTCTTTACGTAATTCGGATCTTTTCCCATCATCAATTTTCCCTTTCTTCTCAAATGATTGTCATGTTAACTACATTTCGAGGGAATGCTCGGAGAAGATTGCAGTTGACTTATTAGTGAAGTTACAACGGGATTTGAATCATAAGATTGTTTGATCTTGTTCATTAGTTAAGTAACTACCGAGGAGAGAGTCGGTGTTGATAATTGGACTTTGGACATAACATCCGCCACTAAATTTTCCTTCCCCTTCTTGTAAACGATCTCATAACCATATCCCATGAGCTTCACCAACCAATTGAACCGACTAGCAATATGTAACTTTCGCTCCAACAAGTGCTTAAGGCTTTTATGATCATCTTTAATGATAAAATGACTCGTCAACCAAATAGGGATGCGATTTTTTAACAACAAATAAAATGTCAATCAATTCCTTTTCATATACTAAAAGGGATCGATGCTTAAGAGATAAACTCTTATCGATATAAGCAATCGGGTGACCCTTTTACATCGATACGACCTTTATACCCGTACTCGAAGCATCCGTTTCTATTATAAATTCCTTCCCCATCTATGGTGATGCCGATACGAGTGTTGTGGTCATAGCTTTCTGTAATCCATTAAAAGCTTCCTCTCGTTCGTAAACTCCATACAAAAGCATCCTTCTTCAACAATTCCGTCAATGGCCTAGCTATCTTTCCATAGTCCTTCACAAATCATCTATAGTATCCAATTAGACCTAACAACCCCTCAATTACTTGAGAGTTTTAGGTATAGGCGATTGTTGTATAACTTTTATCTTCTTGGCATCGATTTGAAATCTTTTTTTGAAAATATAATGCCCCAAATACTCCACACATGTAGTTCCAAATATGCATTTGGATTTTTTAGCAAACACGGTATTTTCTCTCAAAATGGACAGAGTAGTTTGTAAATGAAAAGCATAATCTTGTAAATTTTTATTAAAAACTAAAATATCGTCAAAAACACTTAAATGAATTTTTGTAAAAAAAGTCAAAAAAAATTATTCATTAGGGATTGGAAGGTGCTAGGAGCATTCGTTAGACCAAATGGCATAACTAAGTACTCAAAATGCTCGTTGTGAGTTCTAAAAGCTATTTTTGGTATGTCTAAATCATGCATGCGAATTTGATGATAACCGACTTGCAAATCCAACTTTGAAAACATAGTTGACCCTTGCAATTCATCCAAAAGTTCCTCAATCATAGAAATTGAAAATTGATCTTTAATAGTCAATTGATTCATCCTCTTATAGTCCACACACATCCTCCATATGCCATCTTTTTTTTTTAACTAATACCACGGACAAAGAGAAGGGATTATTACTACTTTGAATTGTCCCATTATCTAGCATTTCATTAACATGCTACTCTATCTCATTTTTCTGAATAGAATGATACATGTATGGCTTTATACTTACAAGTTAAGCCCCTCCTTAATTATAATTTTGTGATCATGCATTCTTTGTGGAGGTAACCCCTTAGGTTCTGCAAACATGTCTTCAAATCTGTGCAGTATGCTTGTTAACTCTAGTGGAATTTCTTGTTCTCCTTTTATTCCATAGTTTACAACTTTCATATCTTCGATTACCATCGGTGAGCTTAATCGAATCCAATTACGAGAATTTTGTCCGCAAATAGCCTTATTAACCTCCTCATCCTCCCGACTCTTACTATTGTTAACACTTTTCCCTTGTAACAAGCACCCACTTCTCAGCAAGTTTAAATTTCATCCATATTTATTTAAAATTCCATGTAATATCTCCTAAAGCATATGACCATACTACCCCCAAAATCATCCTATATAAACCTAATTGCATAAAAAAAACCGTTGTCTCAAAAGTTTCCCCTTACATTTTCTATTTGAACTCTTTATACAAATATTTACACACCATGTCACCACCATCACCTACCCTCACCCCGACTTTTGCAATTTTAACCAATTCACACTTGTTCAACCTAGCAAATCTCACATCCATAAAGTTATGTGTATTACCGGTGTCCACCAAAATGTTCATTCATTTATTCCGTAACTTTCCCTACAATTTTTATGGTTTGATAATTTTCTCCACTAAAAACTATAAACACTAATATCCGACATAGCTCCCCTTGTATTCTTCTATATTTTGCATATCCCCTCTCGCTAATTCATCCCCTACTACTTCAGAATCCTCACCCTTCCCTTCCATCTTCCTCCACTTCTAACATGAATACCGCCTCCCTTTATACTTGTGCCTTGGTGCATAATTGTCCTTCACATTACAATTTTCTTTCTCCTATACTTGGAGCTTTAAGTGCGGTAGCTAATTCTTTCAACTCATCAATATCCCGATCATGTAATGAGTGGAGCAATTGATTCTTCCATCTTTTTGAGATTAGCATTTCCCTTCACCATAGTTGTTAGTCTTTCCGGAATCCACAAGTGCTAGAATCGGCTTTGATACCAATTGATGCGATCTCAAATGTAAGTAACTAGAAAAATTAGAAAATATTACAAAGAATAGAATGAAAACTCGGTTTTATTGAATAAAAAATGAATTACAATAATTGTGACAAATGGAATTGAAATAAAATGTTTATGAATGAATTAACAACTCAAAAGGCCGACAGAGAAAAAGAAGAAAATAGAGAGAAGCAAAAGGGAAATCCAGAGAGAGAGAAATACAATGATTTTTGCCTACCCCTTATAAGACTCCCACTCCTTTATTTACCGCTCTCTCTCGGCGAAGAAACTGTCAACTAACTCCCTAACTAACCCTTAACAACTTCTAACAACTTCGACCAATTGTTCCTCATGATCGATGAACCGAATCCAGCCTTCTTGCCACGTCATGGATTAATGCCACGTCATGCCAGCTATGTCATCTTCTTGTTACTCACTCGTCAACCAAAGTCGGCTTCGGTGTCAACCAAAGTCGGTTCCAATCAACATAAAAGAGAATAACCGCATCGAGCCCAACACACTCATCTTTGAGGATATGAGAGGAGTGATTTCTCCCACGATGACATTCTTGTCATCATCACAATCCTCTCCAACTACAAAGCTTATCGATTTTTTATAGATGATGATAGTGCTATGAACATCTTATTTCAAGAAGTTCTCGACTTGATGAAGATCGACTTCTCTAAACTCTAGCAAAATAAAACTCCATTAGTGGATTAGATATGGATTTAGTAAATATAGCAAAGTAGAGTCTGTAAATGGATCACATATTAATCGAATTTCGATTCGATGTAATTAAAAGAATTTAGTAAATATTTTTTTTATCGAGTCTAATTATTATTTGAATACGTTAACCTATTTATTAAATAGATCAAATATTAATTTACTTTTGATCCAATTTGATAATAATCCGATCTAAAATTAAAAAATATTATTGTTTTTATTAAATCTAATTATTTTTAAAAAGAAAATATATAAATATGAGATTTGGTTGAAATTTAGAGTTTATTTATTCTTTATTCTAAATAGTACATATCTTTCCACAATGAACATTGTGTTTTCAAAAAACCATAACTAAGTTTCTTGTCATTTTCTTAATTTTTCTTCTTGAAAAAATATATAAAAATTGACACATATATGCCACGATCCTCGAAGTAGGCCATGACAGGCATGAGAATTGAAAAAGTCATGGGACTCACATCAACTCTAGCAAGTCTCGAATACCTAAACCATAATTATCAAACTTGTAGAATCAAGATATCTTATCATATATAACTCACAATATCACGAGTCTAATTTAATCAATACTCCTTAATTCCTTCTCAATTTATAGTTCACAATCAACAACCTAATTAGTTAATATCACATTCAAATTCACAATACTTATATATATCCAACATAAGAATTAACAACCTACCACAATTCTCATAATAGAATATAGAACTTTTAGAGATTACAAAAATCTAAAAATACAATTCAAAATATTAAAATTAAATGAGCCATATAATTAATGTGTTGGCTTTAAGACAACGGTTCTAAGGATGTTAATGAAAAATCTCACACCTTACAAAGCTGAAATAGTGAGATGTGAGCAAAACTATAACTCAGCAAATAGATAATATATAACATAGTTAAGAGAGGGAAACAGATAAATGGATGATAATTCAAAACCCGCTCGAGATGCAATGCTTATTTTTCAAAATCAAATCGTATCTCATATTTTTAAATAATTCAAACTTATAATCAAAATCTCTTATCAAAATCCATATAATCAAATCAAGTCATATCAAGTATCCAAAATCTACACACGGAGCGATCAAATCATATTGTATCATTGGATGCAAACATCCAAAGGCAACACCCCTCGTAGGTAGGTATATCGCACGTTAGCGGACACACAAGCTAGCTATACTTCTCCTACTAGCTGAAGTATTTTCATATAAGTGAGCTCATATATTATACCCTTCGTAGCTAGGTACCCTAAGGTAATTAATCAAATTAAAAATTAAATAATCTCACATATATTCTAAAAATCCAAAAACCAACATATTCAAACACAATTCATTCTCAAAATCAAATTTGGTAATGCAATTCAATATCAAATCTTATACTCATAATCTAAGCTCAAATACAAACTCATATTCAAAATTATAAATTAAATACTTACTAAAATTATGTGAATAAATCAAAATTGAGAATCTCAATCAAACTATTGTTTCAATTCAATATCAAATCTTATACTCACTATCTAAGCTCAAATATAAACTCATATTCAAAATTATAAATCAAATACTTACTAAAATTATGTGAATAAATCAAAATTGAGAATCTCAATCAAACTATTGCTTTAATTCAATATCAAATCTTATACTTATAATCTAAGCTCAAATACAAACTCATATTCAAAATTATAAATCAAATACTTACTAAAATTATGTGAATAAATCAAAATCGAGAATCTCAATCAAACTATTGTTTAAATCCATAACATTAAATCAAACCTTAAGTAAAACGTTTATTCAAAATCCCTAATCAAATCCTTTTTAGAATCATATCAAAACAGTTTTGATGTTAAATCATTTCAAATTCTTAAGGAGTCCATTCCCATCTAAATTCTAATAAATGTGATTTTGACATATTTAAAACAATGATGCATGATAGAAATATCCAAGAAATTTAGGAATAGGATATGCTATATATTATCCACTCATAGTGATCAAATAATTAAACGAAGTCAAGGTTGTTAAGATATAGTCGTTTGCTCTGAATAATCTAATGATACAAAATGATCGAATAATAATGAATATCACATATCAAAAAATAATTCGAAAGCAAATGAATTATTCTAGAAATCAAAATACAAGACAAAGTACAAGAATAGCACTTATAAAAAAGACTCAAATTGAGGATTTTTTAACCAAACTATTACTCTCTCAACTAATTCTAGACAATTATCCAATAATTATATCTTAAGTTCATTCTATAAACTTTTTCTAACAACCAATTATCCATCATCAATTTCCTATTCAATTTTTTCACACAACTTATCTTTACAATTCATCATTAATTTTCAATTTAAGTTTTCTTACAACTTACCCCTATAATTCATCATCTCAACCAACTTGTGAATTTCTCAAATCCATAGTCCAATAATTAATTTTACACCACTATTATCTCATTTCAAGTATCAATTAGCATAATTAATTGTTAAATCATTAAATATATAAATTTAATTCAACTCCTAACCCTAACTTAACTCAATTCTTATTCAAACAACAAACCCAACATAAAACAACTCTAAAATAATCAATAAATACATATAATAATCTCAATTTTAAGATTAAATGATAAAAATTCTCACGAATAGGTCTTCGACTTCAATTTCAATTCTTCAACCCCCGTAAACTTTTCAAGCTTTAATTTAGTTAAATTTCATTTTTAATCATTTTGCTTTCTTGAATTTTTAAGGTATTTCAGCAAGACTTTAGCTTGGAAATGGAGCATGAAAATGGGAGGAAGTAGAGAGAGTTTTGGACGAGAAAGGGAGGAGAAGAGAATGAGAAAAATAAACGAGAATAAGGGCTGTCCCTTTTTTTTTTTTTTTGAATTTTTTTCCCTCTTATTCTAATTCTATTTTCTTTTTATAGGGTTATGGAACTAATTTTATTTTATAAAAAAAAATTGAGATTTTAATTTATTTTAAAATATAATTAGCCTCTAATTTAACTTATAACTACTTTTTTAATACCAAAAAATATTTATAATTTACTAACTTAACCTATTCTTAGGATGGGTTATCACAAAATATATTTTCAAGAGTTGGTTATATTTATCATCACCTTATTTTTTTTCTCAAAAGTTAAAAAAAAAAAAAATTACAAAAGGAAGGAGAAAATGGGCCAAGGCCAGCATATTTATCATCACCTTATTTATAATTAAGGCATCTAACCCCATGGTCTTTTAATCCATGGTTTAATTTCGTCTAAGTTTTTTATGATTCCTGATGATTTCATTTGTTTATGATTTATAATTGTTTATTATGTAATTAATACAAATTTAGATGATTTATTGAAGGCATATGTAGCCTCTATTTTCTAATGCTTATTTCCTTATTCTTTTACAGTAAGAGGACCAATGTCAAGTTTTAGACGTAAAACCTAACATTAATTATTAATTATGCTTAAGGGTTTTTTTTTTAATAAATTAGAAGCTAGTCATATATATATATATATATATATATAAGGATAAAGCGGATGGACGAGACACAAGAATTAACTTTACCTCTAAGTAAAAGTATTTGATATCAATACATCTCAAGAATTGAAAACTGTAGTGTTTAACACTTATAATTTTTTGAAATTTATTTTGTCAGATGACTACACCAAAAAGAGATAATGGTAAGCAGGTTATGGAGGTTGAGTCTGCTGCAAATCCAGGTTCAGTTAAAAAAAGACAATTGACATTAAAAGTATGGCAAGATTTTGAAAAGTTCATAGGACCAAATAAAAATGATATTGCTAAGTGTAAACAGTGTAAGAAAAAAATTGTAGGCCGAAACACTAAAGAAACTATTCATTTGAGAAATCATTTAGGTAGATGTGTGGTAAAGAAACGTAAAGCTAAAGGCCAGTAACCGTTAAATGTCGCCAATAATGCTGGTAAATAAAAAAAAAAATATATATATATATATATATTGGACTTTTTTGGCAGTAATTAAGCATATTATACATTTAAGATGGCTGAACATGATTATTTTTAATGTTCTTTAAATGTCTTCAATCGGAGTTCAAATTTGTGTCAAGAAATGCTATTAAGACTAATGTATTAGAAGTTTATTGTGTGGAGAAACAAAAATTATATAATTATCTTGAACCACTTTGTTCTAAGGTGACTATTACAAATGACTTGTGGATAATAGAGGATAAAAATTTTAGTTATTTTTACTTGATTGATTGCTCAGTTTATTGATGATAATTGGCAATCACACAAATGAATTCTTACATTTAAATATATAGAGTATTCCCATGATGCATAAACTCTATTTAAATTTATCAAAGAATTATTTTTAGAATAGAATATTGATAAGAAGTTATGTGCAATCATGGTTGATAATGCATCAAATAATGATCTAATGGTGAGAAGTACAAAAGGTTGGCTTTGTGATAAGTCATTATCGTACTTAAAAAGAGATTTTTTTCATGTTTGTTGTGGTAATCATATTTTTAATCTAATTGTGTAGGATGGGTTGAAAATTGTTGGTAATTTAATTGTGATGATTTGGGAAAGTGTAAAGTATTTGAATATAGGGCTAAAAAATTTTCTATTGAAATAAAACAACTCAAGCTACGTGGTTAAAATGAAGTAAGTTTTGATTGTGCAACTACGTGAAACTCTACTTATTTTAATCTTGAAAGTGTATTGGGAAGAAGAGAAGCTTTTTCTCGATTGAAGAATATTGATAAGAGCTTCAAGCACAATCAATCTTTTAGGAACTGCTTCTCCAACTGTAAATATTTTTCTTTCCGAACATATGTGATGCTCAACTATGTTTGAGTGAATGAGAAAATAGTAAGTATGAATTTATTCATTTAATGGCTAAATCAATGAAAGAAAAGGTTATCAAATATTGAGATAAATGTAGCTTTGTATTGGCTATTGTTATGGTTCGTCATCCAAGATTTAAATTAGATTTAGAGGAGTATTATTATGAAAAAATTCATAGTGTTGATGCTTACAAATATGTCCATAGAATTTTTCATGCTATTTTTGATCTTTTTATCAAATACAAGAGTAATTCTTCTTCATTACAATCTTTAGAAGATATGTCGGATAACAATAATACTTTGATGGCTTTTGAAGATTATTGACCAAATGGCGTTGATAGATGGTAAACACAAGTTCATTCTTTCAATCTCTATGCTTCAAAGAAGTGAGAACTAAACAATACTTGAAGGAGCTAGTATCTTAGAACAAACAAGTTCAATATTTTACAATGGTAAAAGGCCAATGGTCATAAATTCTCTATCCTTACAAAAATTGCTTGTGATGTTCTAGTTGTGTACTAGCAACTATCTGTTACTTCCTAAGCTATATTTAGCATGAGAGATAGGGTAAAAAATAATAATCGTGCTTGCAATAACTACTACAAGTGATTGGTTTTCAAATCGAAACAAAAAACGTATGATATTTCATTTACTTAAACTCATTCATTTCTACTCTTTATGCATTAACCAATTATAAAAAATTACTTTTTTTTTTTTAATGTGCTTGCATTTTTTCAATGATAAGAGTTGATGTGTAGTTGAGCAATAAATATATTTGAAAGTGATTATTTCATTTATTTCAAACTTAATGGTAAGAATCATAGCAAGTGGAAACAACTTCTTATGACCAATTGGAATCCATTTTAGTATTTCAATGTTAGACATAAAAGTGAATCTTACCCCTAGGAGTTGGGTTTACGATCGGTTTTAATTGAATCCGATTCTCCGATGGTTGTTAACACAATCCTAGGCCTCGATAAGGTTCCTTAGGCATATTCTTATACCTTTCGTGAGAGTTAAAGTCTATTAAATGATCATACAATAAAACATATCTAGAGGGAGCGAGAATATGATGATGGATAGCTTAGCTAATTTTGCCATTAGGCATGAGAATATGAATAAGTATAGGTCTTTCTCTTATTTACCTTTAGAGGTAAAACGTGCTTGTAGGCATGACGGGATGGGATTGTATAATTACAAGATGTCGGCTAAACTTTAGGGGTTAGGCTTCCTTTATCTCTCCGAGTTTGTTGAGTTAGGCTGAATTGTCTCCCCTCGTATTCTTCTATTTTTTCTTCTTAATAAATTGTCGAGGTACCGTCTTTGTTTCTTAAAAAAAAAATGTTAGACATAAAAGTATAGCTCGAACCATCTTTTGCATGAGCTCTTTTATAACACTTGAATATCTAAATTATATATATTTTTTGTCGTTTCATTTAATTAGAGAAGGTGTAGAAACAAGTAGTTAGAGGTTAGCATTAAGATACTAAAAAACTTATATTATTAAGGAATTGACGAGGTTTGGATTTTTTTTTTTTTATAAAAAAGTTCAGAAAATGCGATATTAGTGCTTATTTAGTTATGTGACATTATTAATATTGGTATAGTAACATGTATTTATAATTTTTGTGAAATAACTTGTTACAAATAGATGATAATAGTAATTAATATTTTTTTCTTTGTTGGTAGACCTTAATTTGTAGCACTATCATCTTGGAATTCAAATCAACAAATATTTATTTTGCTACACGTGAACAAAAACATAAAAATTATTTGTTATTTTTTTTTATGGTACTTTCTACCTAGTTCAATAAAAGTTTTCATTATGATTAGTTGATTTTTTGCTTATGAATTGTGTGGTATTTTAATTTTTTTGCAAAATTAATTAATGAAATATTATCTTAATATAATTTCTTATACATATATAGTGGTTGAAATATATTTATATTGAAGCAATATATTAAATATAATAAGAATAATTTTTTTACAAAAATCAAGAAAAAAAATACGATGAAGCTCCACATCCCCTAGGATCAAAATCACATTTTCAAAATAAAATAAATCGAATTCGAATATACTATAATCTGATCTGATCTGAATCTTACTCGCTCACAGCCTTAAAGCCAAGCTAGCTATTTTTGCCTTGGCCATACTAGGAAGGAGCAGCATCTTGTATGGGGTTTATAAAAAAAATATAATATTCAAGTTTTATTCTTCTGTTCATAGTTTAGCAGCAGAGTTAATTTATTTTTGTGAAAATATTATTCTCAGCCGTACAATATTTTCTTGTTGCAAAATCAATGTAATACTGAAGTTTAACATCAAATGATTTTTTTATTACTTTCAGGTTGGCTGTATGTATATATATATATATATATATATATATATAATTTTAAAATCTAAAATTCATCGACTACAAATATTATGGTTATATGTAAGATGTTTCTGATGCTGTTATCCCATTAGATTGCCAAAGAAAAGATTATTGCAAAAGAAGAGAAGCATTTCAGAGGACTTGGATTGTATTTTTTTTTCGTGGTTATTAAGTTATACAATGCCTTTATTTATTTATTTTAGATAATTTATACGACGACTCGTTGATTGTTAATTTAATCTTAGTCGTGACATTTAAAAATAAAATAAAATAAAAATAAAAACTAATCCTTCATTTGGTTGGTTTCTCTGCAACTTAATTTGGAGGAGGAAGCAGCCATTTGGAAGCTTCAATAAAGCCAAGAGAAATGAAGGGTGCTACTTGGCCGGGGGTTAGCTGCCTGCCAGATCTAGCACGGCCCTTGGGGTCAGCTCCTGGCCCCTCGCACTTGTATTCTCCAAATAAAACCGTCCTGCAAGCAATGGCACATGCATGATAAACATTATTATGAAGAAAGAAACAATTATGAAATCATTTTTTGAGTCAATATTAATTATCTTCTTTCGTTAAACAATGTAAAACCCATTTATGAAATCTTTTTTTTTTTTAATTATAATTATTAAGAAATAGAAAAGATGGATTAAGGACATACTGATCTCGTTCAGGGTGGAAATTATTGGACCATCCCTCAGGATTAACAACACTACCCATGGTAGTGTAAGCAAACACTACCCGTGGCCTTGACATCCATGCTCGTCCCAAATGCGTCCCACTGCCAGTTCCATCTACTTTACAATGCACGAAAGAAAATCCAGTATCTTCTGATTCACTGTTCCTTGCTTGTGCAGTAATAAACGTCCCTCCTTCATCAGGAATCACATCTATCTCGGTTCCCTGCATTCCATTGAATTTTTTTAAAAAAATTACTCCATGCACCAAATGTAGGCCAAATACAATAGAAGAAATTATTAAAGAGAAATTAATTCTTGGATCGATGTTACCAAATACAAGGACTTTCCGCTTCCAAAAATGAAATCAACAGTGCCTTCAATGTAACAATCCTTGAAGAGATGCCGTCCCTTGTCATCACACAATGTGTCTTGAAATCCAAGTAATCTGCAGTTGTAGAAAGCAGACTTGTCCCCAGCAATCCTCAGAGCAACCGCCTGTTCTCCTTTCAATTTCCCGTTCGGCTTTGGCGCAGAATTCTATTCCCACAGTTCCATAGGAAAAAAACAAATAACAATGAAGATATCAAAAGCATTAACCTCAAGGAAAAAAAGAAGAAGCAGTACAACATTTAAATTTTCACATGGGAGAATTGACCTGAACTTGATTCGAAATGAATAATGTTTCAGGATATACACACACCTTAATAATGATATTAGCAGCTACAAAGTAATCAGCCTCAGCTTCCAAGGTAGCACTATAAACAGTTCCATATTCTCTTGCCGTACCACCAAATGACAAGGTTGGCATGTTGCTAGGTGATCCCAAGAATGTAACAAAAGGCTTCTCACGCTCAATCTTGAGTTTTTCAACGTACTCTCCTGGTCCAATGTCCACAATTACACGTTCTTTATTCCCTGTTGGAATACTGTTAATGGCATCCTTTAAGGTTTTGAAGTCTCCACTTCCATCTTTTCTAACTTTAATGGTTCTTGGTTTAGCTTCGGCAGCTTCCAGGGCAGGGTCTATGGTGCCCTTACGGTCTGCCAGGGGCTTGACATTGTGTTGAAACCATGTGTTCAGGCTCGATGCATCGGCTGGTATGGGACTTGTATCAGCAGAACTAAAGGTGGTGGTGGACACAAGAAGAATTGCTGTAATGAAAAGTTCAATAGCTACAATGCAACCCATCTCTTTTTTTTTTTTTTTTTGAAGAATATCGCTATTGCAATTTATAAGGCCGCTACTAAAAGAGCCTTAAAATATTTGCGGTTAAGAGAGCTCTTCGCGTAATTCCTTCTATTTTGACTGCGGTTTTTGTTTATTAGAAGGAAAATAGAATTGCAGCCAATCTATTTTTTTCTTTTTCCTCTTGAACATAATAGCCAAGCTAGCTATTTCTGCATTTGCCAGAAAATATGGAATTCAATTGTTATATATATTTGGAACAGCTGTTTTGTTTTGTTTTTTCCCTTAATTAATAGTTAAATAATAATAGAAATTTAGGAGAAGAAAAGAATAAAAAAGTAACATAATTATTTATTTTTTTATATTAATTGCCAATTGTACGAAAAATTAGACAAAAAAATTTAATTGATATTTTTTAAAAAATTAATATATAAAAAACAAATTTAATATACTCCATTGAAAAAAAGTTTAAAATTGATATATTTGTTACAAGGTTTTCCTAAATACAAACTACCCTATTCATCAGCCACACACTGAAACCAAGACTAAAATCCTTGCAGCCAACAAAAATTTAAGCAAAAACAGGCAAAACAAAGGCAGGAGAAGACATGCTGCCGTTCAACATCCGACCAATATCTTTCTGGCCACCTTGACTGGCCAGAGAAGATGAAACTATAACCCCAGAGTGACGCCATTTGGACTTCGCAAGCACCTCCACAGGCTTGAGTAAAATTATGTCTTACCGTGGTCACGCACTGCATGCGCCAAGTCTGCTGTCTCCAGTTTGCTTTTCTTCTAATTACGGTATGTCTATGTTCTTTCAATCCATGGTTTAATTTCATCCAAATTTTATATGATTCATGATGATTTGTTTTGTATGATATAATACTGTTTGTTATGTGATTAATGCAAATTTGGATGATTTATTGAAGACATCGCAGCTTTTACTCTCTAATGCTTATTTTCTTACTCTTTATCGTGAGGGAGCATTGTCAAATTTAGATGCAAAACCCGAAATTAATTATATTTGAGTTTTTTTTTTATTTTTATTTTTTTATTTTTAAATGAATTAGAGGCTAGTTGTATATAAGTAAAAATATTTTATATGTATTCTTTTCTCATAATTATGCTTAAGAGAACAAGATGGTTTGTTGGGTTTTGGTTGACACTTTAACCTTACTTCAAGTAAAAATATATGACATCAGTACATTTCAAGAATTTGAAAACTATAGTGTTTAACTATTATAATTTTATCTATGGAAATTAATTTGTTGGATGACAACAACGAAAGGAGATAATGACAAGCAGGTTGTGGAGGTTGAGGCTGCTATAAATTCACGTTGTACTTAGCAAAGGACAATTGACATTAAATGCATGGCAAGATTTTGAAAAGTTCATAAAACAAAATGAGATGATAGTGTTAGGTGTTAATAATGTAAGAAAACACTTGTAGGCCAAAGCACTAAATGAACTACTCATTGTAGAAATTATTTAGGTCCATGTTTGGTAAGGAAACATAGAGCTAAAGGCTAAGAAATGTTAAATGTGGCTAATAATGCTGGAGAATAAAATGTTAATATCGAGAATTTTAGGTTTGATCAGTAAAAAAGTAAAACGAACCTTCCTAAGGCAATAATTAAGCATAATTATGCATTTAACATGATTGAAAATGATTATTTTGATATTTTATTGAAATGTCTTCAACTAGAATTCAAACTTTTGTCAAGTAATACTATTAGGACTGATGTGTTAGAAGTTCAACCAATGAAGAAATAAAAAATGTACAATTATCTTGAATAACTTGGTTTTAAGTTGATTGTTACCATTGACTTGTGGATGGCAAAATATCAAAATTTTGGTTATATTTGCTTGATTGCTCACTTTATTGATGATAATCGGCAATTACACAAACAAATCCTTACATTTAAATATATAAAGTATCCCTATGATGCAGAAACTCTATTTAGATTTATCAAAAAATTAGTTTTAGAATGGAACATTGACAAAACAATTATTTGCAATGATAGTTGATAATGCATCAAATAATGATCCAATGGTGACAAGTATAAAAAGTTAGCTTTGTGATAATTCATTGTATTTAGAAGGAGATTTGTTTCATGTTTATTGTAATGGACATATTCTTAATCTAGTTGTGTAGGATGTGTTGAAAATTGGGTTTTGCACATATCAAGACCTTATACAATCCAAATTTTTTTTTATTGAGATCCTAAATTTTTTTTTCGGTTAAATTTAAGAGTTCTACTTTTATATTGTTATTGTTTCAGACCCTAATATGCCACGTAAGTATTTATGTGGCAAGCTCTAACCAATCACGAGTGGTCACGTGTCATGGTAGCCCCAAATTGGATAATTGCCACATGTGCTTACATGGCAATCTGTCATTGCCTAGAATGCGGAATAATAACAAAATAAGAGTAGAACTTTTAAATTGGACAAAAAAAATTTTTTTGATCAATAAAAAAATTTAAATTGTACGAGATCTCGATATGCGTAAAACTCATTGAAATTTATTGGCGACATAATTGTGAATGTTGCTAGTCGACATATAGGACTTCTAAAATTTTGGCTAAGAAAAAAAAGATTTTAAAGTAGCCACATAGTATTGAAAGAAACTAGAAAACCTATAAAAGATACTTGGATTCGGAGATTTTGGGTAAGAAGTTAGTTATGCTTTTGAAAAAATAACAATCATCCAAAGACACCCTTACAAAGGAAAGGTACAAAGTTTAGTCTAATCCTAAAAGTATTTTCTAAAAGGTATGTTTGCTAAATTATTTTTTAAGTCTATTTTCAAGCTTATTTATCTAAGTCCAAACAATGGGTTTGCTTTTTCCAATCGTAGAATCATATTAAAATGACATCGAGTTCTAAAGTCGAGAGTCTTATAAATTTAGCATCGAATCCAATTAAGTTACGAAACAATTAACATGTTGAGAAATGATCTAGATAAGCTATAGTGTTAACTTGAGATGCAGAATATGATTGGCTTGTACCTAACCTTAGCTAATTTACTTTTTATTGTTTAATCATCCATCTTAAATAAAATATCGAGACCATATCGGTCTCTAACGAATAAGAGACTCATTAGTTTGACCTAACTCTCCTAGTTGATTTAAAATGAGATGCTTTTTATTAAATATAACTAAGATCCTACATGAAATTGTCGTCGGTTTTAGATTTTTAGGAGACTTAATAATTCCATATCCTATGTGATAAACACATTAATAATCAAAATAAATTTAAATAAAATGCCAACACATCTTAAAAAATCCGATATTTTGAATATAATTCAACGATAGGCAAAAGATGCTCATACAAAAAAAAAATAAAAAAAGGAAAAAAAGGAAAATCATATGTAAAAATATTTGAGGATATATCAAACATACAAAATACCATAGCAATCAATTTTAGTTAGACATATTACTACCGCCTTAGCCAACGAGATGATTTAAATGGACGACCATTCGATGTGTTAAAATTTGAAATTTCACACAAGGATTAGAAAAAATACATGATATTCATACAAAAAAAATCAAAAGATAAAAACATCTAAAACTACCTCAAACATACAAAAAATGACATTAACCATTTCTAGCTTGACCAACAAGATGATTGAAAATGAAAGCACATTCTAAATCCTAAATCTGAAATTTCATACATGAAGTAGAAACAAATATATGATGTTCTTGTAAAATAATAATAATAAGGATGTAAAATCATTTACGAACATGTTCCAAACATGTAATGCAAAAAAAAAAAAAAAAAAAAAAGTCATTTTCGGCTTAAAAAATCAATACCGCAATAGCCAACAAAATAATTTAAATGAAAACCATCATATGTCGTAAAAATCTAACTTTAAAACATATATTGGAGACAAGTATATGGTATTAAAAAAAATTAGAAAATAAAAAACACCCGGGACCATGCCAAATATTCAAAACATGACAATAGATAGTTTTTACTCCAATGACTACCACTGTAGTAACCAACAAGATGACTTAACCGAGAATCCATTATAAATCCTAAAGATTTGAAATTTCAACTATATCTTAGGAATAAATAGATGATATTCATATAAAAATTCTAGAAAGCAAAAATATCCAAAGGTGTACTAAACACACAAAATACAACCAACATCCATAATCATTAGGGTTTAGGTTGACTATGAGATCCATTAGCATCAATGGAAATCCAAATGCATTTTTTCCTACTAAGATCAACAAGGGATAAAATAAAAAGAGTAAGGGATTACCTTTTGAATTTCAAAAAAAGGTTAAGAAAGTCGAGTTTATAGGTTAGTTTGTTTCCAAACTTGTTGAGATGCTTGGATGGTGTTTTCTCATTTGTTTTTTTTCCCTCTTTAAACTCTTCTTTTTTATTTTTTCCTACCTTTCTCTCTTTTCTCTCTTGCGTTCACCTTTTCTCTCTCTCAAAAACCAACAAGCTTCAATGGAATAGCTAAGAATGAATAATGTCGTCTCTTCCTTCTTTTTTCATAAGGTCGATTGCTCTTGGTTAAAAACAAATGGTCTCTCTCTCTTCTTCTTCTTCTTCTTCTTCTTTTTCTTTTCTTTTTTTTTTTTTTTTTGGTGTGAAAGAGAGATACTTATACATGATTTGTTTTCCTTTTTTTAGGATCCGGCTTAATTTACATTTAGTCCCCCATACCCTCTTTGTTTTTCACCTTAATCATTGGACTTTTTTATTTCAATTACACCATCAATTCGATTTTTATTGGTCTCGACATATCTTATTTCCTTCGATTTGTACCTAGATTTCCTTAACACTTTTTCTATCTTTTTTTTCCTTCCATTTGTTTTCATTTTTCTATTATTTTTTATTTTAATTAAAATTAGAAGATAATATTAAGAAATTTTAATCCTAAAAATTTATAAAAATACCTAAAAATCATAGAAAAATCAAGAAACTATACAACATGTGGTTTTTTTTTTTTTTTTGAGTTTTTAGAATTTTGCATTAAAAGTGCAATAAAACAACTCAAAGTTATGGTAAAGATAAAGTAAGTTTAGATTGTCTAACTAAGTGGAACTCTATGTATTTGATGCTTGACGATGCGGCGGGAAGAAGAGATGTTTTTTCTCGATTGAAGGAAATGAATAAAAACTACAAGCACAATTCATCTAGTGAGAAATGGAAGGTGGCAAAGATGATACATCATTGCTTGAAAATTTTTTATGATACGACAAACTACTTTTTAGAAATTAATTCTACAACTACAAATTCTTAGTTGACATATGTGGCATTCATTAATTTTTTAGTGAATGGAAAAATAGTTAGCTTGAATTTATTTGTTTACTAGCTAAACCAATCAAAGAAAAGTTAAATAAATATTGAGAGGAATGTAGCTTGATATTGGCTATTGTTGTGGTTCTTGATTTAAGATTTAAGATAAATTTAGTGAAGTATTATTATGAGAAAATTCACGTTGTTAATTCTTACAAATATGTCCATAGAGTTTGCCATCTATTTTTTTTTTAATCTTTTTATCGAATACTTGATCAATTTTTCTTTACTAGAATCTTTAGAACATATGTCAAATAACAATAATACTTTGGCAACTTTGGAGATTATCGATTGAGTGGTTTTGATCAATGACATAAACAAGTTTGATCTTCTAATCTTTATGCTCCATAGAAGCGAGACCTAAAACAATACTTAGGTAAGCTAGTATGTCCTAAAACAAAAAAGTTTAATATTTTACAATGGTAAAAAACCAATTTTGACATATTTTTTATCATTATAAAAACTATTGGTGATGTTTTACCTATTTTAACAACTATTGTTGCTTCTATAGCTTCATTCAATATAGGAGGTAGAGTAATTGATGATTGTTGTAACCACTATTTTGGCCTTACATTTTTTTTAAAAAAAAAAAAAAAAGAGAGAAGAAAACAAAAAAGAAAAGGAAAAAATTGAAAAAAAGAAGAAAATCAGAAAGAAAAATTAAAAAAGAAGAAGAAGCGAGGAAGAAGCGAGGCTTATGCCGGTAAGGCACGTGCTTAGGCTACAAGTTAGGCTTTGGACCTAGTTGCCCACGCTCGATCCTCAAACCAAAAAAAAAAAAAAAAAATCCAAAAATCGACTTAGGTAGCACTTTAAATACACTACCCAACTCACACTCGGACATGTTTTCACCTAGAGAGAGAAAAAAATCTAACGATCAAAATAGAGGGACAAAAGAGCAAAAAGAAAATAGGGATGTCACTCACCATAGCCCGTACGCCTAACATTTTCGACCACGTGTCATACCTTTAGGATTGTTTGGCAAAAAAAATTTTAGTGCCACAAAAACTAACCAATTCTAACTACCACACAACCATCACACACCTCCACTTTGTCTATCGTCATTGATTATAGTTGGTCTTTAAAATTCTAATTTAGGTAATTACATCCCTATGTCATTGATTTTCATTTAACTTCTATTCAAATTTTGTTATATTGTATGATTACTTAATTAATTTATATGTTGGTAATGTCAATTATGTGATTAAGATAGAATATTTGGAGGATTATTGAGTTTAAATGTCTTAATTAAAAGGTATAATTGGAAAGATTGAAATTTGGAATACTTTATGACTTTTGATAGATTTAAAAAGGATCTAAATTCAAGTTCTTTGATATTTTTATGTTCTAAAATTTAATCTAGTGGGGGAAGAGATTTATGAGTTTTTTTTTTTTTTTTTAAGTTTTGATGTATTGTTATCCTTAATTTATTTTTTATGATTTTTTGTTTAAAAAAACAAAGGTTAAAGGTTTGATGTACTATATAATAATTTTAATTTTTATATAAAAAGTTGAAAAAACTATTGATCAATAATGAAACTAGCAATAGGCTAACTATCGGCCTAGTTTAGAATTTTAATATGGCATGATGACATAGGAGCTCGAGGCTTATGCCCATATTTTTGGATTGCTTATTTATGAATTTGTAATTTTTATTTCATGGTTTTATAGGTAGGCTTGGGCTTAAGATCCAAACTCGATATGTTTTATCCCTTTTTGTGGGATTTGGAATCTTTAATTAGTAAATGAGTTTTAAGCTCTAATTTTCAACTGTTTCAATTGAGCTTCAATGATCCAATGATATATTAGATAAGAGACTGAATTTTTATAAGTCTCCAAATCACCTCATTTAGGATTAGTTGGAAAAAAATCCAAGGAATCGAACTCACAAATCAAGATAAAAAAGGAGCATATAAATGAACTTGTGTGAATAAATTTCCACATGCTAGAAATATAAAATATAAGGTAACCTCATTATGAGATCATACTATGATAATCATAGTCTTTTTTATTTGTGTAATTAGCCTCCTTGCTTAGAACGCTTAAGACCAATGTTAGTTTTTTTTTTCACCTTTTAGAAAATTTGACTAACGATTTCACACACACACACACACACACACACACACACATATATATATATATTCGATCATCGACGAGTCACCATGTGACAATGATATATTATCGTGCATCTTTACTTTAAAAGGTTTTGGAAGCAATACGCAAGTGATTGGCTTCCAAATCGAAACAAAAAAATGTATAATATTTCATTTACTTAAACTCATTATATTTTTATTCTTTATGCATTAACCAATTATGAAAATTATTGTTTGCCTTTTTTTTTCAAGTGCTTATATATATATATATTTTTTTTTATGATGGGAATTGTTGTGGAGTTGAGCAATGAATATATTTCAAAGTGATCATCCCGTTTATTTCAAATTTGATGGTAATAATCTTAACATGTGGAATCAACTTTTCATAAATTGGAGTCTATTTTAATATTTCAATGTTAGACATAAAAGTATAGCTCAAACCAACTTTTACATGAGTTATTTTATAGCACTTGAAGTCTCTAAATTATACCATTTTTTGTGGTTTTACTTAGTGAGATAATTTGTTGTAGAAATAAGTAGCTGAAGATTAGAATTTGAGATATTAAAAAACTTGTATTATTAAGGAATCAATAAGGATTGAATTTAAAGAAAATTTAAGTAAACAAAATATTATTACTTATTTTGTTATGTGATTTTATTAATATTGGTAAAGTAACATGTACTTATAATTTTTTGTGGAATAAATTTTTACAAATAAATGATCATATTAATAATTTCTTTTTCTTTACAGAGTTTGATTTGTAGCAATATTATATTGGAATTGTAATTAACAAATATTCATTTTGCTACAACATGAAAAAAAAGATTATTTATTGATTTTTTTTTAGTTTTATCGTATTTTTTTTTCCTATTTCAAGGTAAATTTTTGTAAGAATTATTTAGTTTTATGCTTTTGAATTTTGTTCTATTTTGAATTTTTTACAAAATTAATGAATGAAATATTATCTTAAAATATTTTTTTACACATATAGTGGTTGAAATATATTTTACGTTGAAGTAATATATTAAATATAGTAAGCATAAATATTTTACAAAAATCAAGTGAAAATTTTGATGGAACTTCGCATCCGGTAGGATTTCGAATCGATTTTCAAAACCCAAATCGTTCTCCTTAAGTTGCAGCTGCTATTTGCCTCCTTGTCACTCTCTATTGACAAAATCTAAAAGCAAAATCTAAGGTTTTGATTGAAATCATGGCGAACAAAGTAGTTACCATTTGTACTAAGAAATTCATGACAAATCATCTCCTTTCAAGAAAACAATTTATCATTGATGTTCTTCATCCTGGCAAAGCCAATGTTTCTAAGGTGGAACTGAAAGAGAAGCTGAAAAATTTGTATAAGGTGAAGGACCCAAATACAATCTTTATTGCGGAACTGAATGAGAAGCTAGCAAATTTGTATGAGGTGAAGGATCCAAATACAATCTTTGTTCTCAAGCTTGCCACTAAGGTAGAAAAGTCAAGGAAACAATTGAAGGAGAGAAAGAACAAGGCTAAGAAAGTCCATGGAGTTAAGAAGACTAAGATAGAAGATGCTGCAAAAAAGAAGTGTGTTATAGAGGATTTTGTGATGGTTTTTATGTGCCCATATGCATGTATGTGTGTGTGTGTGGGGGGGGGGGTGAGGATTAGGGTTGGTGTGGTGGCTCTTCTATAGTCTAGATGGAATTTCTTGCTTTTGTGGATGTTGGGTCTCATCTTATGTTTAGTTAAATTATCAATGGACAAGTTTTGGAACATTTGGCCGTTATATATTTCTAGTTATTTTTGAAGAAAAAGAAAACCCAAACAGATTTGAATCTAGTATGATCCAATCTTAATTCAATCCGTTGACAATCTTATAACCAAGGTAACTATTTTTGCTCCGGCCATACTAGGAAGGAGCATTAATTTTTTTATGGGTTTATAAGAAAATAAAATATTCAATTTTTATTCTTACGTTCATTGTTTAGCGCGAGTTAATTTATTTTTGTGAGAATATTATTATTTTTCATACAATATTTTGTTGTTGTGAAATCATTATAATACTAAATTTTAACATGATATGATTTTTTTTTCAATTTTCGGGTTGGTTGCTTATTAAATTTTAACATGTTTTTTTTTTTTTTTTTGTTTACTTTAAAGGGTAATTTAGAAAAAAAATACTTCCTCTTTCAAGGAAAACATATCAAAGCCAAAAAGAACTACTTAATGATATTTGTTGCATGGCTTTCAAGCAAGGGTTTGCTATCACAACTAAAAGATCTAGTAAGAATTATTATGTTACGATTGGTAATGATAAAGGAGAAAGGTATAAAGCTACTAATATTTCAATGCGGCAAAGAAAAAGGAAAAGTGCATCTTATCTCATTGAATGTCCTTTTGAGATAGTAGGAAAAAGAAAAGTTAATCGATTTTAGAGAGTTGAAATTAAAAATATTTCATATAAACATGAACCTTCAAATGACCTTTCTAGACATCATTTTGCTCGACATCTATTTGAAGAAAAAATAATACATGTAGATGAAATGAGTAAAACAGGCATACCTCCAAAACAAATACTTTCATCACTTCGTGAAAGTAATCCAAATCTTCGAGCGATTTCGGGAACCATCGACAATGCAAAAGGGAAAATTATGAAGGAACAATCGGCGGGGTGTACATAAATTCAAGCTTTGATAGATGAACTTAGCCAAAGTGGTTTTATTTACACCGATGATTATGATCAACATGGTCATTTGACAGATTTGATTTTTTCTTATTCTATCTCGATTATTCTAACGAAGAGTTACTCAAATGTTTTTGTAATGGATTGCACTCATAATACCAATAAATATAAGATGCCATTACTTGATATTATAGGAATGTCTAGTTTTAACACTTCTTTCTACTCTTGCTTTGTTTTTTATGCAAGGAGAGGAGACAAAAGATTATGCATGGGTATTGACTATATTAATCAAATTCTTAGGTGTTGATAATTATCCTTCGGTTATTATCAACGACGGTGAGCTAGCTACTAATGAATGCTATAAATGTGGTTTTCTAATAGCTGCAAATATGTTATGCCTATGGAATATTGAGAAAAATATATTGGCTAACTACAAGTGTTATTTTGAGGAAGCAAATGGTTGGGACACTTTTTTATCCACTTGGATTGATTTGATAAAGTCTCCTAATGAATTATCATTTGATGAAGCTTGACATCTTTTTGAAGAACTTAATTATGGTTTCGTACTTGTCGGGAATATGGAAAGGCTTATTTCTAATTTTTCAAATGAAAATCCTAGGTTTGTGTTCAAATTATAATTTTGTGCTTCTAGAAGGATGGCGATGTCAATTTCTAATTTTCAAACTAAAACCAAATGTTTATTTCCAAAATAATATTTTGAACTACTAGGAGATGGCAAGACTTATTTCCAATCCTTAATTTTTTTTTAAATATTCCGGAGCTGGTTTAGGATAATGTGATGGATTCCAAAAGGCATTTGTGTGGTGTTAAGAGTTTAGCACTACTCCGGCTACAAAAAGTGCCATAATCAAGGAAAAAAGGCTATTTCTAGATTTCATGATAAGAGATGTCAAATGTGATTATATTACTTAGATGTTGTTTAGTAATCGAAATAGAGTAATGGGAATGAAAATGCGGGAATCAAAATTTAAATTAAGGAATCGAAATGACATTTGTATTTTCATGCTATTTTTGGAATACTAATGAGGGATCAAAATATAATTTAAATTTTTTAATATTTGATTTTTTATACAAATAAAAATAATGATTAAAAAATAATTTTATCAAACTATAATGATTGTAAAAATAATAAAGGTGATAGTGGTGGTGGTGGTGGTGGTGGTAATGATGATGGTGATGGTGGTTGTAATGATGATGGTTGCGGTGATGGTGGTGGTTGTGATCGTGGTGGTGGTAATGGTTGTGATAGTGGTGGTGATGGTAGTAGTTGTGGTGGTAATGATAGTAAAAATAGTTAATAGACAATAAATAAATAAAATATATTATTATTTTGAAAAAAATTTCATTCTCATTCCTTGATTTTATTCCCACATCTTATATAGAAATGAAGTTGTGTGTAAATTTTCATTTTCATTCCCACTTTATTCCTTTTAACCAAACGAGATACAACATGGGGATAAAACTTCTATTTTCATTCCCATCACTCTATTCCTAATTACCAAACGAGCACCTTAAGGATATTTTTGAATGGAATGAAATGAGGATTGATTTTTTTCTTCAGAATAGGGTCAATACCACGATAACTTTATTGATGTGAGAAAAATAAGTATATAGGAGGACAATCCAACCTAACCCAACAAACTAGGGGACAAAAGAGGCCTTATCCCTATTGAAATAAGGACACTCTATAATTAAACAATCTCATTCTATCTTATCTATTAACCTTTTTTACATTTATAAGTAATTATGCAGAATCTGCTAAAATCAATATCTAACTCGTGTTAATCACCTCATCAACCAGACCTATCCACCAACATGTTTTGCTCTCTTTAAATATGTTGAAATTCATGATTACTCCTTAATTCCTAACACTCTCGGACTAGGTATGTAAATAACTAAAGGATCTTATCGGTACCTAATATAATACGATAGTTACCATTGAATCGGATTCGATACACACTGAGTCTAAATTCAATTTCGACACAAAACTAACCCATCCCGAAGTGCTAACATCTTTGCCTTCGAGTTAGTTCCCTCCCCATAATAGTGTAGGAAACTAGCAATAAAAGAGCTTGAAAAGTCCTCGTATTACTCCACCTCCAGCACATCAACATTTAATTTAAATTTAGCAACAAGTTATGATTCCTACTTAATCCATTTCCCTCTCCTAACTTTCAACTGAATTGGTGTAATGCCTAACTCCTGCATCTTTCTTATGCTGATTACATTCGGAGGCTTTTTAGAATAAATAAGCTATATATATCTCATAGGTCTTCAATCACTTGTCTCACTATATCACCTACTTTTATCGATTCATTCTCATATTTTCTTTACACCAATTTTTTCATAATTCCCATAAGATAAAATTGAAAACACCAACTTGGCATATACTTGATTGAGTATTGAACAAGAACATCCATGCTCGTGTACAATCTCTAGCGAGTTCCACTCGCTGCTGCACCCAAAAATTCTTCCAAAATGCCCCCACACATGCCTCATAACCGAAGATTCTAAAAACAAGTATGAAATGGGTTCCGCCTTATGATTCAAGCGAGCATTGGCAAATTGACACTATTGGAATGTGTAGATCCCGAATACGAGAATCAACTGCTAAAACACCTCTAAATCATTTTCACATAAACAAAACCACCTTTTTTGGTATGTAAGGGTTCCAAATGCGAGAAGCCCGAGTGCCATTTTGGAGAGTGATTTTTGGTATAACTCCGGTAAGCTTTCGTCTCAAAGTCCCCTAATTGCGTGAGGGTGTAAATCAATCCGTACTCTACTTGATTCATCAACCTTTATATGCTTTAGTTCTTCATAAATCCACATTAGAAAGAGTGAAAGGAAGTCACCCAGTTCTTGTAATGCTTCCTTAATCATGAGCCTTATATTTATAGGTAACAAAGATCCTCAAATGGCTCCATGCCGGTTAACACCCCAAAATGAAATTGCACCCTTTCATATGATCTATTGGATGAACAAAAACAAGGATTGTAAGCGTGGAAAAATGCTTTTCAAGTGTGGGAGGACTTCCTTGAATGCTTCTCCATGTTTGCATATGTCGTACATAAAAATCGAGCCTAAAGTCTTGATCCCCGAATATAAGATCATAATAACTTTTCTTATAGAGCTACCATCACTAGTTCTAAACCACGAATCCCTAATCTGCCTTCCTCAATAGGAGAACAAACCTGCTACTAGGAGACCTAATGATGGTGATTTTCCTCGGAAGAACTCCACGAAAAGCTAGCCATCCGACTCTTAATTCTTCAAATTATGCCCTTAGGCACTAGGATAGTTGCTAACACATGAATTGGTATACTGCCGATAAGCGATCGGAGTAATGTCAATCTTGTACCAAAGGATAAAAACTTTGCCTTCCAATCACATAATCGTTGCTTAATCTTCATCTCCAATTGTAGAAAATAAATCGACGCATTCTACCTATGAAGAGAGGAACACCCAAATACTATAATGAGAATTAGAAATGACTCTATCTTGTATACTACTTTATTGAAGCTATTTTTTTATGTCGACATATTTTTAAAAGTGTAGAACACACTCTTAGCCAAATAAGTAATTACCCTAAGCACTCCTCATATCTAGAAAATAAACCCCTCAATTATATTATAGATCACTTAGATCCATTCGTGCACAACAGACATGACATCTATATAGAATAAGTGAGAAATTAATAACACTCCCTTGGCAACCTATATGGTTGAATCGGACCCTCCACCATATATTTTTAAGGTTAACCAACGGGACTTGCTAGACTAAAATAAATAACGAGAGGTGATAGAGGGTCCCCTTACCAAACTCTTTTGTATGATTTAAAGAATTTGAAGTTCCTACCTTGAATCTAAATTGTATACCACACATTACCGAGGCTTCTATACACTAGGTCACATTAACTTTCACTAAATGCCATCACATGTATGACTTTTAAGAGAAAATGCCACTTAACCCTATCATAAGCTTTCAAA